TAAAATCGTCGAAAAGGGATCTTTCCCGGTCTTTGGAGAGAAGTGTAGCTCCTTCCATTATTTGAGCTACTCGACAAACAAGATCCAGATCTCATCGCCTTTATAAGACGTACCCAGCGCCCGCTATCCCTTACATCCTCCCTCAACTCCTTCACCCAGTTTTCAGTAGCAAACACCGACCTCTCAAGTTTTCGACCAGAAGTACCTTGAAATATTTCATTCTGAAAAGTTGAGCGTGTTCCTTAGCTTCTGAACTTATCTCCCGAACAAAAAATTTCTGAAAAAGCTCAAAAATTGGTTGTGTAACAGTGTCCGCCGTCAACAGCACCCTTAGCGCTAACATCCAAAAATTGGAAGTACACGACAAAAACACTGCGCCAAGAGACAATAGAGCCCAATCTCCTCAAACAACTAATAGGGAAGCCTCAGTAGTTGCCTCAGATAAATCCTCAGGTAAATTTAACACCTCTACATATTTTTTTATTATCAATTTTCACCGGGTTAAATTTTCCTACTAAGACCTGTTTTCTTTTACCATGTCTCCACCTTCTCTTAGACTTAGAGGTTATAATGGAAGGACCAGAGACGCTCCACCATCCCAGAGAGGATTTCCACCAGCGTCAGTTTTACCAAAGAATAAGGATAAAATAATTTACGCGTCGAAAAAGAAACTAATATCTCCTACTAACAGTGCCCAAGGAGGAGAAATTCGAGCGCTACTACTACAGGATGAAGACCAACAAGGAATGGTTGAAGGATGTCCGCAACCGCAGCAGCTACTCGGCCATCAGGGCTCATCTAAAGTATTGCCGGGAGGATTTCCAAGCGATGATAGACTTAAGAGGAATGACGACGACCCTCAAAAGAACCAAAGGTTGGAACCCATTACACGTGACGGCAGAGAGTCTCCTTCAACCACGAGAAGCGCCGGACCTTCAAGAAGGATCAATGAGACCCCTGAGTCGCAGAGGGAGGAATACCCATTCAAGACACCCAAGGAATACGGGGAGGAACACTCAATGGCGCAGCCAAATCTACGAAGAGATGGTACGCCTTGGGAGGTCTCTTCAAGGGACTTATCAACACTTGGAGAAAGGCAAAATCAACCGCCAACACCGCTTCGTGGAAGAGGAGCCTTAAATACTTCCCCTACACCTGCGCGTGAAAAAATTCCTGATAGTTCTGATAGTGATTCTACTAGTAGGAAATCAAAATTATTGTCTAGTGATTACTCTACGCCTCAAGTCCCCCATGAACATATCCCAATAGAAATTTCTCTACGCAGAGCTGTTAATATGTTTACTGAGAACATGAATTTTTTAGTACAACATACCTTAAGAAATAACAGAAAAATTACCACTGATATGAAGAAATTGTGCCGTAAAATTGAGGGCAGCTGGGATAAAAGAGCTGATGAAGAAGATAATAATTTTACTTACATCAGAGATAAAGTTATGATCATGGAAACTGGGCTTGAATTATTACATAAAGAACTGCCAGAAATGCTTGAGAAATTAGGAGATCAAACCACTCGAGTAATAACCAGAGTAGAAGAAAAATGGGAAGATATACAAAATAATAACAAAGAAATGATCCATAAATTCAATACTATGGAACAATCTTTCCAGAAACTACAAAAAGACACGCTTGAAAAAATTAATTCACAATATAAAAGCTTTGAAGATGTTGTAAACAGGATAGAATTAAATAATTTAAATAACAATAAAAATAATTCCGCCTGCATCATCAAATTAGAAAATAAAATTGAAGAATTAATTAAAATTAACCAAGAGCCTAACAGTTGCCAGAATTTAACATCTCAACATACTGTTCACGGCAAAGGAAAGGATATACCACCTCATGTAAATTCATCAATTACCATACCGGATAAAATAAGTACAAATCCTTTCTTTAATTTATCAAACACGCAATCCAGTAATATGAATTTCAGTGACCCTAAAATTAACACCCCAGTTAGATCAATTAACACTGAAGTACACCATTCACACGTAACTGATGACCAGGACAAAACAATTCAAAAATTAATTTTATCAGGAATGCCAAAAGTTAATGAATGGAGTACCTTTTCAGGGAAGGGAGAGTATGATCACTATAAATTCATAGAATGGATTGATAATCTTAAAGAAGATACCCAAGCACCAGATCCACTTATATGTTCTAAATTGAATTCAATTTTAACTGGAGCAGCTAACACATGGTATAATCAGAGGAAGAAAGAAACTCATGGAGTCAAAGATTGGAATTTCTGGAAGAAAGAAATAATAGCTAAATACAGCACACCTGAATGGAAAAGAAAGGTTAGAGAAAATTTCAGAAAGAACAGATTTGACATCAAAGGAGATATTGAACCATCTGAATGGGTTACTACTCAAGTCAATAGATTGAGAGCAATTGAAAGAAATATTGATAATGCTGCTATAAATGATAAATTATTGGCCCAATTGGACGACAAAACTGCTTACAAAATGAGAATTGCCTTAAATGATGATGATGACCTGACTCAATTTATCAATGAACTAGAAAGTATAGCTAACATTAAAAGAAAGAAATACAAAAGAGATAATAAAAGTTCTACTAAAGATTACTCCAAAGATTTCAAGAAAATTAATAAAGACTACACCAGTAGAGACAAAGATAAAGAGAAAGAAAAGGAAGTCACCTGTTATGAATGCGGCAAAAAAGGACATAAATCTACTAAATGCCCTAAACTCAGTAAGAATAAAAAAGATGTCATGATGGTTAAACCCCATGAAGATAACCAACAACCCTTTTCAGACTCTGAAGATAATGATACCAAATCTGAGAGCAGTGATTCTGAATCATCTTCTGAAGAAAATAGTGATAGTACCATAGATGCCATTATTAATGAAGAAAAAATCATTTCTAATATAGAATTACTACCTGAAAAGAGTTTACCTCATAAAATTATCAAATTACCCGTGAAGAAGTCTAGTAATAAAGGAGAAATTCATAAGACTGGAGGTACTAACATCACAAATATTATCTGTAATAAATACAAAATTAAATGTCTGATTGATGGAGGAGCCTTTTGTTCTATAATTAGTCCTAAATTATTAGATAAAATACTACCTGAATGGAGAACAAAATTGATCCCCATCAAACCTGAGAAATTCTACAGTTGTAACAGTAAGTTGAACCCTATGGGAATCATAACTCTAGATATTATATTTCCTCATGCTAAGAATAACATACAAATCACGGTAGAATTAATTGTAATGGAAGACTTTAGAATGAAATACATCATTTTAGGAAATGCTTACATAATTAATTACGGGATAGATGTTATAAATAGCAATGGCAGATATTTCACTATTAATGGAGATTTATCCATTAAATTTGAACTAGGTATTACTTATAAAATGAACTTAGTACAACTAGAATGTAATGCTTTAGAAAATAATAATTTTGGAAATACTATTGAGGAAGCAAAAATTTCTAGTACTTTAACAGAAGAAGAAAAGTCACAGTTATATTCTTTACTTCACAATAAGAAATTAGCTTTTGCTACTACTGATGAACCCTTTGGACGCATTAAAGGACATGAAGTCAGAATTAATCTTAATACTTCTAGACCTTACCCGCCAGCATTAAGAAAAGCTGCATACCCAGCATCCCCAAGAAGCAGAGAAGCCTTACAACAACATGTAACTGACCTAGTAAAAATGAATGTACTTAGAAAAGTTGGAGCCAATGAAAATGTTGAAGTAACTACTCCTGTAATTATTGCGTGGCATAATGGTAAATCTAGAATGGTTGGAGATTTCAGAGCTCTTAACAATTACACAATTGCTGATAGATATCCAATGCCTAAAATAAGTGAAGCCATCACGCAACTACAAAATGCTAAATATATTACGTGTATGGATGTACTTAAAGGATTTCATCAAAATGTTATTCATGAAGATAGTAGACACTTAATGAGAATTATTCTACATATGGGTATTTATGAATATTTGAGAATGCCCTTTGGAATTAAAAATGCACCCTCTCACTTCCAAAGAATGATGGATACTGAATTTCATAAAGAATTACGTGAAGGATGGCTAATAATTTATATTGATGACATTATTATTTTTAGCACTGAATGGAATGACCACCTTGACAAATTGAAAATTGTTCTAGAAAGAGTTATAAAAATGAATATGAAAATTTCTATGAATAAATGCCAATTTGGTTTTCAGGAACTTAAAGCATTAGGTCACATAGTTTCAGGATTAAGCATAGCTATAGATAAAAACAAAGTAGCTGCCGTGATGTTAAAACCTATG